TTCAAGTCACGAGATTCGTAGAGCTGTAATGTCATTTTCGTCTAATAAAGCCCCGGGGTTTGATAAAGTTACCATGTCTGTGATTAAAGATGCGCTCCCTTGCATTCTGCCTTTGCTGACGGACATTGTGAATCGATCCCTATTATCGTCAGTTTTTCCTGCAGTGTGGAAAATATCTGAAGTCATTCCACTTCCAAAAGATGGAGATCATGAGATACCAAATAATAATCGACCAGTCTCATTACTTCCTGCTGCGTCAAAGATATGTGAGCGTGTTGCCTCTGAATCAATTAATGACATACATGGCCACCAAAAGGCGCCTTAGCGGACACCAAAGTGGTAACAAGAAGCTTCATTCGTGTGAAACCCTTAGCGTCATGATCACGGACAAGGCACTGGAGGCTATGGATGCAAAGAAAGTCACACTTGTGGTACTTCTGGACTTGTCGAAAGCATTCGACAGCATAGATCGTGTAACCCTCCTTGCAAAACTACAGGCGCTGGGTGCTTCTCGTGCATCTCTGGATTGGTTCAAGAGCTACCTTTCTGAACGGCCACAATGTGTCAGGATCGGAGCTGAGACCTCAAGCTTGCAGGTTATCTCACATGGAGTCCCACAGGGTTCAATCTTGGGACCCGCCTTGTTTACTATCTACCTCAACAACATTCCTTCTATACCAGACGTGTGTTCTCTGGAATCATATGTTGATGATTCCAAGTTATACCTTTCGTTTCCAGTTGCTGAGGCTAGTAATATGATTCAACAGATCAACAATGACTTTAAAAAAAATCGCAAGCTGGTGCTGTTATAACAGCCTTCTCATAAACCCAGAGAAAACCAAGCTGCTGGTGTTGGGCACACGTCAGATGCTTCAGAGGCTGCCCGCTGATTTTCATGTCACCCTTCTTGGAAAGAAGGTCACTCCATCTCCTTCTGCTCGGGACGACCTTGGCCTGCAGGTGGACAGTACTCTAAGCTATGATGAACATGTCACCCAAACAGTTTCCTCGTGCATAGGTAGCTTATGTCAGATTAATAGGGTGAAGCATCTGTTTGATGCAAGGACATTAGAACGGGTTATAAATGCTTTAGTGTTTAGTAAGTTATACTACTGTTCTCCGGTGTGGGGTCTAACACTTCAAAGAAAAATATCTCGAAGCTGCAGAAAGTTCAGAATTTTGCTTGTAGAATCATTACTGGAAAGCGGAAATTTAACCATATAACACCGGTATTAAGAGGGCTAAGGTGGCTGCCCGTAACCAGTTTTCTTAAATACACACTTGGAGTTTTAGCATTTAAATGTGTTAAGGGGTTAGCCCCTAGCTACCTTTGTCATAGATTTAAGACACGTGCTTGCGTTCATGACCGTAATACTAGATATAAGAATAACTTGAATACCCCAGCTTATAAGTCAGCTTCTGGGCAACGCACTTTTTTATACCGCGCAATGAGTTTCTGAAATTCTCTTCCATGTGAAATAAGAGAATGTGATAATTTGCCAATCTTCAAGAGACATTTAAAGGAATTTCTTTGTAGTTTTTAATTAGCAATACGATATATTTTAACATCTATTAGAATTTTAGATCCTCAATTTTAATATATTTAACATTGATTGTAATTAGTTTTTAAAACCCATTTAGTGGAAAACTAATAAATCTTTACTTTACTTTACTTTAAACCCTCTTTTCCCCACCTTGGGGCCTCTACAAAGTATATGACGGAGCCTCTGGCAAAGTATATGACCCAACCTCTTCCTTCATATTTCCGATTCAAAGGAAAAACTGAAACAAAATTACATTCATGGATTTTATGATCAGGTTCAACAGCAGATAGCTTAGTGTCACTGGGCTTCGATGACGTGACTCTGTTGTTCATCTCTCCGGTTCACACAATGTAAATATGGAGCAGATTTGCTCCAATCAGTCATATTAGGTGGCTAACCTTTTTCTTAAGTTAACGAAATTTTACCTTCAGCCTTTTTGGCAAAGAAGTTTTATTTGTGCGGTCAGATTTGATACCTGATTAATTTACTCAAAGAAACATCGTCTGTTCCGATTTGTTATGCTTCAGTTGGTTTATGATTAGATCAAGCTAAAACGGAACATTTTTTGCCGGATAGCCCATTTCATAAATTTTTCATTTATACATAGTTTTTTATGGTAGATACGCTTCAAATATCGCAGTAACAATTTTTTTTTGTGGAGGACACCCACAAAGGTTTATCTTACCATAACAAGCTTTTCATCCTTTGGGATGGCGTGAGATGAGAATTCATTGGTCGTTTGGTTATTGTGTCTAGTGCGTAGTGACTGGACACCTTGCAAGAGTAGTAAGTCGTAAGTAGTAAGTCTGTCGATGTGCAGGCTAAGTGCAGTAAACGATAATCGCGTATCACAAATACGACAAGGATGCGTAACCAGTGACGTGACACAACCACATCGATATTTTGTCGAAAGATCTGTGGTGTTTAGTCTAGGCTGCAGAGCAGGCGTAATCTTGGCGAGCGAGTGCTCAGTATCTACTCAACGAAAATTATAGCCGTCATCTCTGATTTAAATGGCAGCGGAAAGCTGGGGAGAGAATAAAATTTGTACAAGGGGTGATCGTCGGTCAAAAATAAGGAGAGGGGTAGGGGTGGAGAAGTGAGGTCTTTTCGCCCTTCCTTCGCCCCTTACCCCTACGTCAACTCAAAATCAAACATGGCCGGTCGGATAACCGATCGTTAGCTCGCACTAACAAGACGCCTGCACTACAGGTTATGAGGTCAGAAATCTTCATTTGGGGGGCGAAACTCCATGGGCATTCAGAGAGTTATTCGGCACTAATTGAAGTCGAGAAAGCTTGCCGTCGTAGAAAACAGTGTGTTTTGTAGACTGTCGTGTCCTAACAAAGAGTTTGAGTTGGCGAAGCAAGGTTATATCGGCGATTTAACTAGTTACTGATACAGAATAGACTTCGATCATACACGCTCACATCTCACCTTTATAACTGACCTTTTGTACTATGTTCATCGTCACTTTTCTTTTAATCAACGCGCAGTCAGCCCTGCGCGGCCTGTGTGTGAGTTAACCGATTTTACGATTTTATTTTCTGTACGAGGATTCTCCCTTTAGCTACTTAAAACACTGCGTAATTTTTTTTCCTTTCGTTTTAATTTTGAAGCTATTTGTGTTTGTTTAGTATCTATTTCATTTTATATGCCTACGATCGAAATGTTTTCCCAAAATGTACCCAAATTGTATCAATCTTTAATTTACAGAATTAACTATATATTTTACGGACATTCTCGTATTGAAATCTTTCCATTTTTCGTATCGAAATTTCTAAAAACTGACTTAACATTAAAATTGCATTTTAATGTTTCTTAATGCTAGCAAAATTCAGTGCTTAGTACTTAGTCAGTTCGTTGGATCAATTTGCTCAGAAAACTTGGAACTAAGAGTCTAATTGTTGAATAGTTTATCAAACAACTTCCTTGAAAACTACTGCACTTTGGCACACCAATGCACCCATTTATATCTATTCAGCATACCTTCCAAACAGATTTTGCATGCAATACAGCTGCAGGCATGTAATAATTTTACAATACCTTAATTTCACTTCGTACTAGGCACACGTATGCAGTGCGAAATTATTACTGCAGTTACTAAAATGGAAGAATAAAACCAGCAAGTAATACCAAGACTGCACACACTGCAAGATAATTCCTTTTTTATCCAAAACAATCCACGTGACAGCACCCTGACAAAGGTGGCAAATAGGGTCTGTTGGAGGACAAATGCATAGATGACATCACCAATAAAATTGTTTTGGTTCTTTATTATATGGAAAAAATAGGATCCATGTTGCAATGGGTAAGTTCAGTAATAGATGACAGAAGATGTCAAAATAAGGTGAGAACATCAGTGACACACTCCACTGCGACTTGTCAGCCACTTCTAGTTCTTACCACATTTTGAAGTCATCTGTGATCCACACGTATCACTGAAGAGAAACACAGAAACAAGGAATCTATTTAATAAATTGATACTATGATGTCATTGAGTTAGCAGTGTATATCAATCTATTTGACTAAGTAATTCTTTGCCTTTCAACGTTGATTATTGTTGTAGGTGATGACTTGTAGTATTGGTAGTTGTATTCATATTCATTCAATATACTGGTAATAATGATTTGTGGTAAGGCTTGTCATGGACTCGCTAATACATTTGGTAACCTAATTTAGCCAGAGATCTAGGCTGTTGATCAGTTGATGGTACTTCCTGGACTGCCTTAAGAGCAGTTGAAAAGAATCATGCCTAGGGTTGTCATCTGAGATAAAAGAAAAAAAACATACAACAGTGCAGCTTACATCTCTACAAATGTGAATTATCAATAAATCTGGGCTTCTCCTATTCCAGTCATCCCATTTAATTGAATAACTTCAGATCCAAAGGGCTCCTACTCACAAAGGAGACTCCAGGAAGAAAATTACCAGATAGATAATTTGCACTAAGTGAAGTAACAACCAAATCCTCAGTAGTTTTAACAGCAAAGCCAGTAATGATGACAGTGACAGTAACAGTATCAGCCTAATTGTAAACAAAAACCTTGGTTTCCTTCATCTTTGATGACACAAAAAGGATAGTCAACCATGGATTCAAAGACCTGTCTTTCCAGTTCAGCTGGATCAAACAATTCTGTCGGATTCAAGGAGATTATTCGACCAGCAATTACGGGCAAATTGTACAACTCATCCAGGAGAGTTTTCATTTCAAGGGCTGGACACAATGTAAACTTTGCTCGATTTAATAAACAGTTCTTGAGTTTTACTTCTGATAGCTCTTTGCATGAGGTGCATGAAACAGAACTCAGTTTTGGGCAATCTTCAACAGACAATTTTACTATTCCACACTTTTGCAAGAAAATACTTTTTAGAACTTGTGATGACAAAAGAAGATTGTCATCATCATTAGAATTGGTTCTTTCAGGTCTAGTAGGTTCACCAGAGGACTCCCTCTTGAACATATTCTGAACTTTGAGGAACTGAATGGCAGGCAGCTGACGGATAAATTGAGAAAAATGTTCCAAAGATAAATTCTTGCACTTGTATAATGTCAAATCCGATATTGTCAGGCATGTTAAATTTGACGTAGGCCAAAGTGTAGCATTTCTCAAATTTGGACAGTTGCTGACTGATAAACAGCGCACCTGTGGAAATACTTGCAAAGCTAGTTTCAGTCCTCTATCTGACAAGGCAGGCGTCTGTTCTCTTTCAATCATTAAGCCATGCTGTTGGAGCTCCTCTTCTGTGTATTTCCCTTTTTCAGGAAAGTCATCAGTATAACCCAGGTGAAGACATTCAAATCTTGGATACTCTGCATGAGCCATTAACAATGCTGAGAAGACTGCATCCTTGGTCAAAGAAGGCTGAATGCAAAGTTCTTCTAATCGAAAGGCAGATACTAGTACCAGGTAACCAAGATCTACCTCAATGGCATCATAGCATGATGCAAGTGAAACTCTTGTAAGGTATCGAAAGCTGCCTAGTCGCCAATTTTCCTCAACAACATGCCGAAACACACCACCTGGAAAAGGAACACGCACTAATTCAAGGCGTTCCAGATGTGCAGCTCTACCTAGAGCATGGAATAGGGGAATACAAACTCGTGGACTGAATGAACCAGTTTCAACAACACCCATACAGTTTTTCATAATAAAGTGTTCTAATTTTGGACATGAAAAGTCTTTGAAAGGTTCATGGTCTGTAAACTTAACCCATCGAAGTTGAAGAAACGTCAAACCCTCTATTGTGGGTAACAATGGAACTGTTACACCTGTTAGTACCAGCTGGGATAATTTCACTCTGCTTGGAATCGACAAAAAACTGTGTGGAGAGATCGGGAACTCTCCACCTCTGTTGCGGAAACCTCCGGCAATTTCCAAATTTGGATTGATCGCCAACATGGCGTCCAACACTTGTATGTTAGAAGTGCCGATTGATTTTAGCTTTTTACAGAAAGTCAAAGCGGCAGTGATTCCATCAACGCTTAACACGTCTACGTGTCTCTGTTGACGTTTTGTTAGCAACGTAGGATGTATTCCGAGCACACTGTTTACCTCTGGACATCGTTGGAGTAGGCGCGAAAATATACCGTCTGTTACTAATGAAGACATTTCTCCGTACCATTTCCCTTCGGTAAAATCAACCGATTTCCTTGTTCTCAAATGGATTGTTGTGGCGAGTGAAAGCTTCCTGCTAGTCGTCTCGAGCCGAAGTATTTCTTTAAGCGACAAGGAAGACATAATCTTTACCAAGATCTCCAGAGAAAAGTCAGCCAATGAAAGTAAACATGAATTTTCCCTCGCGTAAGATGTCGACGTTTCTTTTTCCATAGGTTTTTCGTCATCATCATCTCTCTGATCATCCATTTCGCGATGACTGGTACTTTTAAGATCACTCTCCTTTTCTTTTTTTAAAGGAAACAAATTTATATATCCCAAAACTCAATGTTTCAGGGACATTTTCAACCTAACGAGGAACTCTCGAAGAGTGCGATGTTCATGGCCAGCAGTATTATTTTTAGAGTTTCCGACGGCTGTACGAACACCCGAAGTGGCAGTGAGAAACATGGCGGACGAATTGTGGTAATGTGGAAATGCCTCTGATCAAGGAAGGACTTTTTGTCGGAACACGGGTTGATGCAAGCAATTTAGTAAGTGTCAAGTTACCAGATGCCACTTTAAGAATCCTCACTGTGGACAGTGAACCGCTTCAAATCGAGGAAGATGGAGTTTCGACAAAGCATGTCACTTGCCTGGACGAACCCGAAGCAGATCTTCTAAGTTTCTTTGACGAATGTTCCGACTTCATCACAACTGGTTTACAAAACAAGCAAACTGTGGTCGTTCATTGGTAAGTACAATTCTTGGAGGCTGATTTTTAACGGATTTTCACAAAGTACGGCTAGCCAAATTAAACACGCTGAAATTCGTGCGTGGTGAAACCTTTAAGCTTCTTAAAATCAGGAAACGTGGAACGCTGGGGATACTGGAACGTATTTAAAAAAAAAAGGATTTAATACTATTTTTTCATGTCATTGATCTAAGTAGAGCATAGTTATGCAGTCCTCTTACACTTAAAAAGCTAATCTGTTTCATGGCAATAATCCCACAAGACTATGAATACTGCATTTCCTACAGACCTAATATAAGGTATTACCGTAATTTCTGGCTAATTACCAGCAAGTAGTCTGTTAATTTTTCAATAAACAGTTGTTGGTGCGGGTTATAGGAAGGGGCGGGTATTATGATCATTTTTAAAGCTTATGGTGTAGTTTTAAACCAATAAGCAGAGATAGCAAGATCCACTAAAAATACTCTCCAAAGAACCTGTGTAATAGCTCATTTATTTCACGCAGATTGCTCTCAATGAAAGCTGATGCAAATCGAAAACATATCTACAAAACTCGAAGACAAAGTTTTTATCTTGTTTGTACTCTTACTTTCTTACCTTGTCAATTTCACAGCTTGTTTCTTTGTTTAGTTCAAAAACAATTCTCACTTACACAGGAAAAGAACTTGAAAATAAAAGAATCAATTGTGACAAAGCAGGCTTCTGAGCAATTCACACGGAAAATGATGTCAACATGTTCATTTCATGGCACTATATAATTAATGGTACAACATAATATTTAATGCATCAGTAAAATTTTCTTAGCTGGCACTGCCTTGAGTGAAAGAGTATTTTCCCATTCAAGTGATTTCTTTTACTCAGTAGATCTCAAGATATAAATTTTTTTGGAGAATAGATTTTTACAAGTGGTATCATTCTCAATGAAACATAGAGAACAAGAAGTGTGAGAATTTATTTATTGCATGCTAAAGGATGTCATGTCAACAAAAACAGTGGAGGAACTTTGTGTGAGTTGACGAATTTCTTTTGTTTTTGGGTGCTGGTTATCTGCTAGTGTGGGTAATCTGTTGAAATTTTTTTCTCGTTCTTTCAAAAATTGAGTGATGCAGGTAATCTACCATGTGGGTAAATGGCTGGAAATTACGGTATACTCCCAACTACACGTGTGAGTGGCTTGTGACAATAGCACCTTAATCTTTTTTTTTTATTTGACCTTAGTTCAAAATTTAAAAAAATTTTCTTTTGTTAATATGCAAAAAGATCATTCAATTAATTTATTTTTGTCACTTCTTTCACCCAAATGAATTAGAAGTATAAACATCTCCTGGCTAGTGATTTTACATGGTTACCCAATATTTCTTCTTTATTGTTTTACTGCTAGAGTTTTACTGAATCAAGGATTTGTATTCTACTAGTCCCATGTTCATTAGGCAAATGCAATGTCTGCATCGTTGATCTTCCCACTGAATTTACATTGCTCTCAGTGAGTTTGTGTTTAGGTTCCTTCATTCAAGTGTACAGTGTAGTTGATCCAACCAGTTCTGTGTACTTTGATCTGCAGCCTAGAGGGTGTGTCACGCAGTGTTACTGTTGTTTTGGCCCATCTGATGAAATCAGACCAGTTGTCAGTGGATGAGGCTGTTGCTTTTATGAAGAAAATTTATCCCAAAGCCAAGTAAGATATAAGTTAAAATATCAAAACCATTATTAATCCTTTAAATCCCATGAGTGACCAAGACAGAATTTCTCCTTACAATATCAATATAATATCAAGGAGACAAGCGATGGGAATAAAGAAAAATAGCAATTAGGGGATTATAAGTTGATCCAATACCAAATTCTCCAAACTAACTTCATGAGAACTGTATGGCAGACAGTAAGGAGAATTACTAAATTAAATGAGATCTTGGGAGTTAAAGGGTTAAAAGAAATTAAAGTTTCTTGGGAAGCAAACATTCTTTACAGGTTGTAATACCTTAATAATACCACACATGTGACTTGTACATTAAACACTTCAACAAGGACACAACAATTTATTGTAGGTATTGCGTTAAAATTTCATTTTATTTTGACTTGTGGTTGATTGATTGTTTGATTGCTTTATTCATTATTTTTTAGTCCCAATGTTGGCTTTCTTGAGCAACTTCAACTTTACGAAGCAATGGGAAGTACAGTTGATAAAACTCATCCTGCTTACAAACAATACCGCCTGCAGCTGTTGGCCAGTCAGATACAGAGTAAGTCTGTGATGAAATACTTTAATTTGCTTTTTCAGATATTAGATTGTGAGTATTTACCTAGCTTTTTAATTTCTAAGACATTCAGCTATAGACTTGCTCAGGGCAATTTGGTAGAAAAAAGTTTCAAAGCAGAACTTCATTGTTATTTGTTTTCATCACCTATATTCAATGTTCATCAGAATAATTTTTTTGAATGATTATTTTTAAAATGTATACAAATGTTTAACTAGTAATAAGATATTTTTTTATTTTTCCTACTCTTAGGTACACAGTTGGTGACAAAAGATCTTCTCTCATCATTGATTGAGGAACTCAAAGACAACACTGCCTCAAATGACAAGAAGTATAAATGTAGAAAATGTAGGTAGGGAAATCCAAATAATATAAATTTCAACTTTTGAACTTTTATTAATGGTTGGTCTTCTTTTAACTTATGTCACTTTCAAAAAGACTAAATATATTTCAAGAGTAATTTTCCATACAGCATTGGAGGTACTCAGATGTCCATAGGTTCTTTTTTCTATTGGGTTCACTTTTTCACCTTGTAATTTTGTGTATCCCATTCATCTGAATAATTATTTCTCAACATTACCGCTTGATATCCTTTTAGCGAGTTCTTTGCTTATTACTGTGCTTGCCAGAGTGCAAATATTGTTTAGACTTCTTAAAGGGAGTATGTCATTTGAACTACTTATTAAAAAAAATGAAAAGGTTAGTGGCCTACTTAGCCAAAGCTTATACTGGTTTCCCCAGCATTAATTGATGAGGAGTATCACTACCCCCCCCCCCCCGGATGGGATGCCAGTCTATAGCAAGGTTACCCTCCAGCATTCATCAGGCTTCCCTGACAATTCGCTGGTACCCATTTGTACTCCTGGGTGGAGAGAGACACTGTGAGAGGGAAGTGTTTTTCCCAAATTACAACACATTGACCCAGCCAGGTCTCAAACCCACACCTCTCAATGCAGAGTCCAGCACACTAACCCTTAGACTGCAGCTTCTCCAACAAATGCTCATAAGTAACATGTTAAAAGAAATGTTAGGAAATAGGTAGTTAATGTTTCCTCTGCAGGTTTATGTTATTTGGTGGTGATTCAAGCATTGACCACGAGCCTGGCAGTGGTCAAGTGTCATTCAGGCGGCATAAACAGGATTCCAGTGCTGTAAACTGGAGTAACAGCAGCAGCAAGGGTCCATGTACATCCCTTTTTATTGAACCTGTGAGCTGGATGCTTCCTTTACTTGAGGGAACAATTGATGGAAAGGTACTAATGGTGTACACGCAGCTTAATAAGCACATTGCATGTATTTCATGGCTTCTTTTATGTTTTGGGAAAATGAAGTGCAAATTGTAAATTGTCACAGTGCTGATTCAAATTTAATCCATTAACTGATAAACCTTTAACTTTGTTCATTCTGGTGTTCTCAGTCCTTCCTTTGTTCTTAATGTCAATTTCCTAGTCATTCTGCTAGTTATTTGAATGTTCAGTTGTTTTTTGAATAATCCAATCCATTCAGCGGTTATTCACAACTGGTATGTTATTAAATTAATGACACACTCGCAGACATTCAGCAGTCCAGTTATTTCATAACTAAAACAGCCTGTTAATTTTTTTCCAACTTTTAAAATGTCTGTGTACACTTTTAGCTTCCTTGTCCTAAGTGTGGTGGAAGATTGGGCTCATTCAACTGGGCAGGTATGAAAAAGTTTCACTGTAATATAGTACCCTATGAAAAGTGACACTTAGTGCAAAATTCCTCAGCTAATTACCTTTAAGGCTACATTTCTATGTATGAGAGCTATCCATAGATAAATTGATATGATACCAAGTAAAGTTAGAAATCATTTCTAGCAGATTTTGCTTGTCAAAGCCAAGGAAGTATGACTGTCACATTCTTCAGAGAAATCTTGCTTTATGTCAGTTCTACTTTTGACACACCTAAGCACTTCAGACTCGTTGAATAATATGCTTGAATACTATGCTACTTGTCACAGGTTAGAAGGGTCTTAAAGAAAACCATAAATGTAACAACAAGGAAGCAAAAGAAGACATGAAAGTTCATTTTTCAATTGCCCTTTTTATCAAGTGGTGCCCTTGTGACATCTTGACATCTGCTAGTTTCCTAGATTCAAGCCATGTGATGATTTGTTAAATATATTGTGGTATAAAGTAACTTACATGCACCTACTTTTAAATTATTTGGCCAGGAATGCAGTGTTCTTGTGGAAAGTGGGTGACACCAGCATTTCAGATTCACAAAAACAGAGTTGATGAATCAAGGATAGTATGCCGATCTTTTGTTCAACCAATTCAACCTGAGCAGAGTTCAAGCTAGGACAATGTCTTGCACTTCTGTCAGTATATCCTGTCCAGGAAAACAACCAAGCCCCTTAATTAAATAAAGACACATGGTTTGGCTACATTCAACATCTCAAGTTTCTTTCAATTGGTACTGTCCGAGCAGATAAGAGTGAATACTGCTCAAGGTCATGTACTTCACATACAGATTTAAAGTGGCTTAGAGGCAATAACGACAAAAATCATACAAGAGAGACATGCACAACAAGCCTAAAATTCATCACCCTCTTATAAATCTAAAAAGAGGAAATCCAGTATAACTGTGTGTGCAACTTGTGATGATAAAAATGTTACTTAGGTAGGGTCTAATGAAGGGCCACTGAAGATGCCATCACATGTAAGAGGCAACAAGAATCCTTTGGTCAAATTTTATTGTTTGAATTAAACATTTTAACCCTACTTTTCAACAGCACAGGCCATTTACTTTCTCTTGACATGGCAAATCAGAAGCTTCATTAGCTAATTTAAAGCCTTCAATATCTCCTGAATAAACTTTTCTAGCTTTCTTGCCCACTCAACAAGGCATCAGACAAACTATACATTATTTCCAGTCAAATTTGAAAGAGCAAGTGGGATTTTAGACTTTTAGTTCTAGCTTAATAGCATATAACTCAAGTCACACACTTCTGCTAGCCCCACACTGATATACATAGTATTGTCTTTTTGATCTGATGTAGGATCTCCACCAATGGTCAATTAACTGTTACTACATCCACTAATGGAATTTAGTTTACTAATTATCATTCTTTGACTATAGAAGTTAACCTATGTACTCAGACCATTAAGCACAGAAGTATTTTCTTTTTTTGCCATTTAGCACAATCAGGCTACATTTCATGGCTAATGACACTTCTCAGTACTGTGCACTTTAGGTATATCTAAACCTCAAGTTCTGGATGAGTAGTCACTCTCTTTCCTTTTACATTGAATTATACTGTAAGGCCAATCTGTGAAGTGCTCAAAAGTACATGTACACCTCTTAACCTACTTCTGGTAGTGCATGCACCTTTCATTTTGGAAAAAAAAAATTTAATAACTTGAACCTCTCTTTAACTCAAAGCATTTTTCATTTCCCTTCAGGTCATTCTCTACATATTTTTACCATTTATAACTCAAATCACATCTGTCAATACATGACAAATCAAAACAATGTACTGCAGTCTAAATCATTTGTTGCATTTAATTTCTACAGTAATTTATTGTTCCATTTTCACTTGACTTCTCTATAATTGAATTTTATTAAAATGTATAAGGTATGAATAGAAAAACAGTAAAACATCATTTTTCCTTTGTTTCCAGTCCTTTGTTCCAACTCCTGAGAGCTTGAACTCAAGCCTTTTTCAATTTCCATTCAAGGTTCAAGTTATCAAATTTGACTGCAGTATTACGCCATCATTTTTTAACACTATGTAGAGAAATAGTATTGAATTACAATTTTTTTACAAAATAACATCTGTTAAGTTCCAAAAAAACAAAAAACCCCTTATGATAACAGTGATTGTCAAAAAAACGCAAAAACCAAATAGTTACCAAGTACTTTTGAGCACTTTCAGAACAACCAGAATACCATGGTCAAATGATGATTGCCTTGGTCAGTATCCATGTCTTTTTAATTATGACCAACTTGATGTGTTTTGGTTAGGGTTGATAGATTATTTGTTCTAGCAAGCAAGAACATCAGAGTCAGAGGTTGAAGGTTCAATTTCTTTATCAGTGCTGCAGCATTCAAATGTATTGAAGGATTCACACTGCCTTGGATTCAGAATGTGGATCAATGGCAAAAACACAACCATCCATAATGGATTTTCCTTTTCCTGTGACGTGGAGGGCATCACCTGCAGTTTAAAAGAATTTGAAAACTGATAAAAAATAAACTGTCTTTTTAGACCTTGAGGCTTTTGCTCCTAGCAAGACAATTAAGGGATTTCTCCATGGATGTAACATCCATGTATTATGGAGCAGAAGGGGAATGACAACTTAGCAAAGAACTGCCAATATACCCATCATTTAAAAAAATTGTCCACCCTTCACAATCTATTCTATGGGCTGATTGATACTTGTAAGAAAGGAAAGGTTTAAAATATTCAAAATCCACCTTGGGATAAAACAATAAACAACTGACAATCTTCACCAGAGGCATTAGACACAAGTTGTTGTCAGTTCTTAAACTGTCCTGGCTACTCATTGTTATGTGTTAATATACAATCAAACATTCAACAATATATAAATTAATCACA